AAAGGTATGTATATGATATATATACATATATATACTGGTCTTTAGGAATTATAATAAACAAAGTTTCAAGATAAATTATTACATAGTCTATATTGCTACACGCAAAAACTTACAATTCTATGTTATATGTTGAGATCGCAAAAAAAATTAAACTCGGAAATGTAAGCATTTTTATATTTTAATATTTGATATATAAAATTTAATTATAATTATTAATATATTTGATATATCATTTTATTCTTTAAGAAAGAAAAAGATACAAAAGAATAAAATCAGTTTATTATTAGACAAATTCAAATTGTATCACAATTATCTAGATAGATTAAATGTATAAGATCATCAGGCGTATGCAATAATTTAGTAATCCCTCTAGAACAAGATGAGCTCAAGGATAAGATGATCGGTACAACTATTGCCCTTTATGTGGACATGAGAAATTCAAACATTCCAATCACAACTTTTCAACTCATCCCCATCAAAGCTCTTCATAATTATTCTATCGATGTTAAAAATGCAGAGAACCCACTTCAATAGTAATATTGTGAAATTCTTACTTCCTTGCAAGTTGAGGTCTTTCAACAGTTCCACTAAGCCCAACCTGCATTGGTGTACCTGTACCAATATTGTATATGAATCTCGCACTTTAAATACCATAACAATCTTTGATGAAGTTACCTGCAGAGGTATTACTATTTAGACCTCTCAAAGAACTATCCACTAATTTTGAACTACTTTATAAGAGGAGCCCTCTAACTCTATCTTTCTAAATTATTATAGAACTCAAGTTGTTCTAATATGATACAGATTTTTTGTGCCTCAAGGGCAAACTAGAGAATCTCATAACTACTCGGATGCATGACATCCTAGTCCTTTCCAAGGATGAACTTGTATTGTTTCCTCTATAAAACTCAAGCAATGGTTGCAAATATTGCCTTCTTACTAGTGATTCCATGTGTGCTCACATTTTATTTAAGTTTCATTATATTCATCTGTCAAAAGAAAAAGAAAAAAATACATTAATGAATCGAGAGTTAATTAAATCATTTAATACATATCTATCATGCAATCTCTGAGAGTATAAAGCACATTCTCCCTGACTTGGTTGTATTTAACACATCAATCCTCAGTCACCATATGATATTGACATCTTTTGGTACTCGGCAGGAGTTTATTCAAAGTAAAGAGTATATAAAATATCTCACCGTTTCTGTAATTGATAAGGTTCGTACTTAATTTTCACTTGAAGTTATTTTTAAGAGAGGTGGAATGAAGTAACGATAACATCATAAGCTGTTAGATAAAAAAATTATCGGCATTTAAATCAACTTCATTAAATTTTTTAATGTTGTAACAATTATGTTATGTTTCTACTTCTCAAAGAATAGTAATAATATATATATATATATATATACATATGAGATTATATAAAAAAAAAATATTGCATTCTTATATTTGTGCCAAATTGCATATCTTGTATTTTTAATTGTATTAGCATGCACTTTAAACTATTATATTAGATCAAATAACTAATTTGGTTAATAACTGACTTTGTTAAAACTAATTTATAAATAAAAAATTATTATTGAAATAAAAAATTAGTATTATTGAATATAAAAAATGCGTGGAAGAAAATAAGAGTAATGAGATTTCTTTGCCTTTTCTAATATTTTGTTAACTTAATTTGTGAAAAGATAGAATTATGTTAATTTTAACACAATGAGTTTTAACATATTTAAGGTGCATATTAATAGAATTAAAAAATATAAAAGTTGTAATTGGTTACAAATGCTAAAAAGTGTGAGGATAATTTTTGTATTATTCCTATATATTATATTATATTATATTTAGAAAGAGAAAAGAGTATGAATACAGGTATGAGTTCCAAAATTAAAATTTTATATTTAAATAAAAACAAATATGTTATGTCCATCATGTCAAAATTATTTTTAAAAAATAATAATTATGAGAATTTATAAGAAATCACAAGTTGATAATTTAAAATTCCAAGCCCAGGCCCAATTTATATACACATATATACAAAGCTTATTAATTTGATTAAGATATGAAAAATAATTATTAATGTAAGTTTTAAGTATAAAAAAAAAAAACATTAAACCAAATTATTAATGTGATTTAATTTTTTTGTTTACCATTTAATTTGTTAAAAATAGATTTTTAATTGGTTAAATTGGAGGTTTAAAATTCTATCTTGAAAAACTAATTATTAATGTAACTTGAATATTTTATCATAATTGGCAGTTAATAAAATATTTATTTTCACTCATTACATTATAAATTAAATAATTTTTTAATTAAATAATAATAATAATAATAATAGTAATTTTAAAATTTAATTTAACAAAATTATAATATCTCTCAGACTCAGTTTGTTAGTACTTCTCTATAAAGGTGTGAATCTAAAGTTGAATTAGATGTCTTGTATATTTTTATTAAAATTATTATATTATTACTGATAAGCAGATGATATTTTATTATTATAAATATATAAATTTTCACCTATATTTTTCGAATTTCTTTTTTACAATTCAAACTTAAAAGCCGAATGAATGTTAGAAAAGTCAAGGCAACAATACGTTTTTCTCTCCTGAAAATTAAGTGCATACAAGGCCAAATCATTACTGCATAAATTGAAATATATATATATATATATAATATAATATAATATGTGTGGTCCAATTTTTTATTTTATTTTATTTTATTTTTTCTTTTATGTACGTACGTATGTATGTATATGTCAATTACACTTTCTTCATAGCGTGAAAGTATAATTATGGTTGAATTGCTTTTTCCAGAGCGCTCGCATGCTCCACGTTAATAAATAGTCGTGTAGAAGAAGCTCTGTGGAGAAGTTTTTGTACGTGTCACATGACAAAAACGACCATAATTTTCACTACTTAATTCCACTTTTCATCTAAATTAAATATTTTAAACAAAAACATTAATTATGAGACATTTAAAGACAAATATATATATATATATATAATTAAATATTTAATTTTATGCTGTCTTGATTAATAATGCACATCACACAATGATTAACATTGCTTTCACTGTTCCCGAGCCTTCTCAGAGACAGCCAATCTGACCCATGCTTTTCTGGCAAATTAACCTTTAGTATAATTACAATTAAATCTTTTAATCACACTATAAAATCATACAAAGTATTGTATTTAATTACACTTGGAATGGATAATGAAATGGCGCCTGCATTTTAGGATGACGAAGCCTTATTAATCTTTGAAGGTTTCCAAGGAAAGAAAGTGTTTTTGGTACCTTCAATAATAACGCCGGCAAATACAAAGGTGGCTCTCTGTCGTCTACTACTCCTTTGTTTTTCTCTTCAAAACTTACCCACCAAATCATAATTTACAACTAAGTTTTGCTCGCACTTTACCTCGGGATGATTTGACACCGTGTTAAACTCAAAACTTTTTTAACTATTAGGTTCAAGAAACTTTATTTCCCAATGAATTCAACAGTAAACAGAACGCAACTCAAGGAAAAAAAATCACTCAATCGCTTTTTATGTTTGTCCTACAACAACATGGGAATCAAAATCAGTATTTCTGTTTTCACATATGCAATATATAAGATGAAGGATCATGCATCATTCCAGTATTGAAATTCTCAATCATAATCTTTATGAACCTGATGGTCCTACCATGTCAATGGGATGGAAATGATTATAATTGAAATCAACAACCCAATAGGAGATGTAAATGATGAGGTGATAAGTTAGAAGAAATTTAGCCAGTGGACGGACGGTCAAGATCAGCTTGGCTAAAAACAAAAGTCATGTAAGTTGAACACCAGGACCAAAGCACCACCAAAATTTGCCACTTATGGGGACAACACAAAATGCAGTGTGAAACGTGAAAAGAAAAGTTTAACTATAGAGAGATCTGACCTGTTCAAAGAGTCCCTACAAGTACCACATAACCATCCCTGTACAAGAAACATTTAAAACGATTTCTGTAATTACGCGGAAAAAAAAAAAAAAAAAAAAAAAAAAAAGAGGAAAAACCACTCCTTATAAACCATTAAACGTGGTTGAAAGAAACCAGCAAGAAAACTAAAACCAATGAGGAGATAGCAAGATTGTTGAGAGAAGAAGATGAGAAAATTGCAGTCTCCTAACCTCAAAGAACTATCCCAGGGATGCCTGCAAGGCTGCTGTAAATCATCTTCTTTCACCGTGTCACAGCCCCAGAACAAAGTCTCCAAACCCAGAACTTCTGCGGCTTGCCGCCGAGATTTTGCGGCAACAACTACCTCCTATATTTTCCCAAATACCCAGTTCGCCAACCATGAGTCTCTTCCATCTCTTCAAGAATCATTCAATGAATTCTCTAAAGCTTATCCCCAATACTCTGAGACCTCCGTCGTTGACCAAATAAGAGCTCAAGAATACTACCATCTATCATTCTCCCACCATACCTGTCTTGATTACATTGGTATCGGCCTTTTCTCCTATTCCCAGCTAGAGAAATATGACTCCTCAACGCACCAAATCGCCTCATCTTCTTCTCGCCTGCCAACCCCATCTCCTCCCAGAATATTAGACACCCCCTTCTTCGGTGTCTCATACAAGATAGGAAATTTAAAGACACAGTTACTTCATGGTGGCCAAGGATCACCTCTGGAATCTGCAATTAAAAAAAGAATCATGGATTTTCTCAATATCTCTGAAAATGATTACTGCATGGTCTTCACTGCAAACAAGACGTCAGCTTTCAAACTTCTTGCAGAGTCTTACCCCTTCCAGTCTAATCGGAAGCTTCTGACAGTGTATGATTATAAGAGTGAGGCCGTGGAAGCTATGATTAATAGCTCTGAGAAGAAAGGGGCCCAAGTAATGTCGGCAGAGTTCTCATGGCCACGGCTGAGGATTCATTCAGGAAATCTGAGAAAGATGATCGAGAGGAAAAGGAAGAAGAAGAAGAAGAAAAGGGGACTTTTTGTCTTCCCCCCTCATTCTAGAACCACAGGAGCTAGATATCCTTATCTATGGATGAGCATAGCACAGGAGAATGGCTGGCATGTCTTACTAGATGCCTGTGCATTGGGACCAAAAGACATGGATAGCTTTGGCCTCTCCCTCTATCGCCCAGACTTCCTTGTTTGCTCGTTCTACAAGGTGTTCGGGGAGAGCCCATCTGGATTTGGCTGCCTTTTTGTCAAGAAATCCACTGTTTCAGTTCTGGAAGCTTCCACAAGTTCAGGGATGGTAAATCTTGTCCCATCAAAGAATCTGCTTCAGTTAATTGATGAATCTTCTGGAACTGACACGGAACTTGACCCGGCGCCCAAATATAAATTACAAGAAGAAGAGTTAGCAATGTCATCACAGCCTGGAAAACCGGCAGAAGAGGAAATTTTTGAGACTCAAAAAGCAGAAACTACATTGAAAGGATCAGAAACTCCTGAAACTTCAGAACCAAGGAAACCTGCAGATTTGGTTGAACTGGGAAATGCCAAAAGCAAAGGAAATGGGAGCATAGAGATTGAGTGCAGAGGATTGGATCAGGTGGATTCATTGGGATTGATCGTGATTAGCAACAGAGCGAGGTGCCTAATCAATTGGTTGGTAAGTGCTTTAATGAAGCTTCAGCTTCCCAACACAGAAGGGATCCCGCTAATTAGAATATATGGTCCCAAGATTAAATTTGACAGGGGACCTGCATTGGCATTCAACGTGTTTGATTGGAAAGGAGAAAAAGTAGATCCTGTTCTTGTACAGAAGCTTGCTGATCGAAGCAACATTTCTCTTGGCTATGGTTTATTACATCATATATGGTTTGCAGATAAATATCAAGAAGAGAAGGATAAAGTCCTTGAGAAAGGAGCTAGTGAAACAAAGGGTAAATCAGGACACAAAAGGAAGGAGAAAATTGAGCCAGGAGTAACTGTAGTTACAGCTGCACTGGGATTCCTGGCCAACTTTGAAGACACCTACAGACTTTGGGCTTTTGTTGCTCAGTTTCTGGATGCAGATTTTGTGGAGAAGGAGCGCTGGAGATACACAGCTCTTAATCAAAAAACAATTGAAGTATAAATATGAAACAATTCATTTATTCTTTATGAAATTCAGAAGAAACTTCAAACGCATGGAGTCAATTAGAATCAAGATTCTGTAGATCCAAAATGTCAACCACCAGAGAAGCAGAGAAGTGCCATAATCCTGCTCGGGGCTTTGCAGTCAGTTCATAATCTTAAAATATACTCTCCACATTTATTTATGTTCTTGGATCGGCATTTCAGCAGCCAGAAAGTCTAGGCTCATTAGACTTTTTAAGGCATATGATCACACTGTCTTATAAGACTACCAATTTCCTACATAATGATGATGCTAGTTGCTCGTTTTTCACCATTAACCACTTCACACATTGATGATGCTAGTTGCTTGTTTTCTCTTTATCATCCTGCAAGCAGAATTTTCCTTGTTTTGATACTGGGTTACTATGTAAACCAACTATCAGTCTGATTAAAAGAACTGAAGAGCACCACTTATCAGTTAAAAAAGCCATCATAGTACCGGGTAACTAACTAGCAGTTGTAGACCATGAATATCATTATCTCATAAAGTACACATAAAGAAATTAACAATATATGGTAGAAAAGATATTAACATAGCATCAATATGGCCATCTCATAAATTAGCCACAAGTAAATTTCTAGGTTCCGAAGGACAAAAGAAACAATCACTTTGCAATTATGAAAAAAATGTGGGAATTTGGAATCAGGATCTATAAAAGAAAATTACTGAAAATTAACCATAAAAAATTATTTTGTAATCTAATCAAGTCAAAATTAACTTTTCCAATATGGCGCACTTTCTAAGTTTCTTGCAAATCAACAAATTACTTTTAATGAAAATATATCTAGCCCTCCACTGATAAAAGTGGAGAACAACAAAATTTTCATTGTCTCGAAAGAAGGCTACTGCGGTACCCCTACTCTCCCACTACTTCAAATAGAAGTTCTATTGGTAAAGTTCCTGATGTAGAATATGAAGATCCTAAATCAGACACATTTCAATATTAAGGTAAATTTATGTAACATTTATTTTTATGTACTACTAACTTATTTAGTTTTTCTTAGGAACTAGTTTATATAGACTTATTAATGGTGTGAGTTTATTATTTCCTATTTAGTCAGATTCTTGTTTGCTTATTCTATATTATAGGTGATTCCAATTAATTAACTAATTTTTTATCTAGTATAACTTTTAGATTGATTTCAGAATTCCTATTTTAATTGTAATGTTGGACCAATAAATGGAGTACTCTAATTGAGTTATATGATAGATTGCTCATATGATTACATACAATATTAAGTTAATAATTTGATTATTGAGATTTGAGATCTCTAATCTTGGTTATTATAATTTTTTTATGTATTGTGCTCAAGCTCTTTCTATCCCACATTAGCTTGGCTCGAAATACCCACT